GGTTTATACATGTTTCAGCGTGTGTCCCAATTTTTTCAACGATATCTCAGAATCTTATTCGAAATTAATTAAAAACTGACTCATCCACCTATATTTTGTTTTATTCCATTCTTCGGACAAATTCTGCGAACGTCTTTAACAAAAGCATTAACTTTCGAAATCTCCTCTGTCATTTTAACTTCAAACACCCGTTGAAATTTAACGTACACATATTAACGTGAAATTTTCACTTTTATTCCGATATTATTAATTTATTGTCGGCGAACCAATTAGTTGGCCGAAATCGAACGAAAACCGTGGAATCGGTCACGTGCCGATGCACAGACATCATTGGCTTAGTTGCACGTGTCACTAAAGCCTGTGAACATTCAGAATTGACGTCACGCGGGTTTCTGCGACCGGTGGTCAACGTCCAACGCTGACAACGCGCCGTTAATTAGCCAGCCTTATAATCATTACAACGATCGATCCGCGTTTCAGAGCGTATTGAACCGCAAAAGGTGATCGTAAAACCCCCACCGTCGTTTTCGCGTAATTAATTTCAACAAATTCCGTACGCCGCTACCATCATCATTACCACGGATGGAAGCAATAATTTGCGACAGCGTCGTTGCTGCAATATTTCAATTTCTCCGTCTGTAAATTAAATATATTATTTGTCCACGTTCGACTGTTTTCCAATTAGAAAATTGTCATTTAACGAGGTAACGTCTATTCAAGTGACACCATTTAACATTTATCTATTTAAAAAAAAAAAAAAAGTATGTTTCCAAATCAACTTTCATCAGATTAAAAAATTTCTAGACTTTTATCTAATTATTTAACTATTTTTGTCAGACCGAATTATTATTCTTTAGAATAATCATTCTAAAATCTAAATTTTTTCTTAGACTTTCATCAGATCAGAACAATTTCAAATCAAAGCCTCGTGTCACAAATGTACAAAATGACCATTTAATATCGATCTATGTATATCAAATTCTCTTAAAAAATTAACAAGATTAAATTTCCTAGCCATTCGCAACGCGTGCAAAGCTTCTCGCTCGGATTGCCAATCTCAGTGAGCAACGAAAATTTTTTTTACAAATGGTTTTGGCGATGCCGACGAAGTGGTCGTGGGGTAAGGGTGGGAACCAATCGGATCGTTCTCTCCTAATCGCGTAAAACCAGCACCGCCTCTATCCGCCTTAATCACCGATCTATGAAACGATCCATCACGTTAGCCAACGTGAGCGAGAGCGCGACCAGGTCCTCTGTCCGCGATCCATGCGAAAATAAAATGGCCACGGTCTCACGGCCAGCCGATTCGAAACGCGATCATAAGGGATTAACCATCGAGTGGCAGCTGCTTAATTGCTCGTGAAATGACAGCAGCCGCGGAAAACCGAGGCCAGCGCAACGAGCGTGCACCGTGCGCCGTGCATCGAATAAAAGTCCGCCGGAAACGGCAAACTGATTAACCCCCGTAGCGCGAGCACGCTCGCGTTGTTCTGCAAATGAACGTCGACGCTTCAAAGGCGACCACCCTGCGATCAGCCTGGGGTTGGTTGAGGTAGCTGGCTGGCTGGTTCGCGCGACTAAAGGGTGAACTCTCGCGTATGCGAAACGCGACGCTAGTAATAACGCTCGCGTAATTAGTGGAAGGAAGGGATTCTACCATCCTTGCCGAAGCGAAGATTGTTTGCAAAGGTTGATGAATCGATATACGAACTTCGTTTATATCAAACGAATTTTAACCAGCGTTTGATTGAATTAGCAATCCATTCGATCCGTCTGTTTGAACGTGAATTTCTGTTACTTGAAGTAGGAGAAGTTGTTATTAATTGGAGGGAAAGTGGCGGGAGAGATTCTGTAGGATTCTATGGGAGCAGAAGAGACACTATTAATAATAATAGAGAAATCTCGAACGACAAGTTTTCCAGCATTAATTTTAAGAATTCTTTTTCTCGCGAGGTGCAATTTTGAACTCTCTATTTCAATCTCATTTCCGCATCGCTTCCTTCCTCCTGAAAATAATTCCGAATGAGAATCAAAGTGACTAATAATTCTGAATGAAAATCAAGGTGAGTGAAATCAAGGTCTGTGAGTCTTTTGATATCAACCAGTAGTGCTATTTGCGAGATTAATACACGATCTCGTATCCTACCATGCTGATGTCATATCACGCTTTTGCCGCGTTCAGGAAACCAGCTGCGTTTCTGTCAGACCGCACTCGAAGCATCTCCATTCGCGACGTTCCACCGCTGAATTTATTTTTCCTTTTCGAAAGTCCGAGTTTGAAATCAAAAAGGGAGCAAGATTTGATCTCGTACAAAGGTAGAATACCTCGACGATGGGACTAGAACTAGAGATAGACTGGCTGGTTGGTTAAATAGATAATGGAAATTTCATAGCGTTTTCTGTATGAATATGGAATCATCCAATTAAAGCTATTTGCAAGTTCGCCATTATGAATTTTATTAAAGTGAAACGGGTTTAATTGTCGATCAATTGCAAGATCAGCGTGAATTAATTTTCTTGCGTTTTCTCATTTCATGTCCAATAATGCCCTTGTTCTATGAAGATTATTCCCGTAATTTTTAAAACGTTTTGAAACTATTCTGATGGGTAGAACGTCAGACAATACATTGAAGAGTTCATTAACTTCTAAAGAAATTTTTGAACAATTACTTGAGAAATATCATGAACCATTTAGTAAGAAAAACGTTCTGTAAAGTATTAAATTAATTCTGTTTGGCTAAAATTAATGTACAAGTAGTATAACGGATTTTTGTGCATTTAAGAAAAATTGAGAGAGAGCAAAATGGAACGCATGTAATGCAAAAAATCGTTGTACTGTGTTTTAATAATATTGTATTTAATAATAATAAACCGTATTATGTGTGAATGTAAATCAAGTATTAAAGTTACTATTAGTATTATACGAGGAGGTGAAGATAATAAAAATTCATAAACCCTCAAATTAAATTTTCCAATATCGAGATCGTTCTAATATCTCTTCGAGTACTTCCCTCCTCTTTAAAAAAGAGAAATAAACGATAGAAAACTTCACATGTCGATAGGACACAAAACACCCAGTGTTCCTCATCCTCAAATTCAAGTTGCCAAACTACCAATTGCCGAATTCAAAACCGTGGGCATCAGGATCGTCCTGAACTCTTCCTAAAAAAAAGAAAAAAGCAGAAAATTTTGCGCGTCACTCGTAGAAAGATTCGAGTTCTCAAATTTGTCTTCCCATGTCTTATAACGAAACAACCGCCGGTTATATTTGCAATATATACCGGCGAACAACTACAATTGCGAACGAATCGAGAGCGTGGGCGGCTCAAGACGGCCAACAGAGTCACGCGAATTTCAACCTTGCGGGCCATTGTCATCGGGCGGAAGAAACAGGACAGGAAGTAGCGACTATGGGCGGGCGATGTTCACGAAACGCCGCGGCACGGCGCGCGCTCGTTGAAATGCGCCGCTCTTTTATAACGCGCCAGCGGGCTTACACCGCGCGCGCCGCTCGTTAACGCGGCCATCAGTTTCACGCATCGCGCTGCAAAAAAGCACGACGACAATGCGAAACGTTGCCGACTCCCCGCTGTTGACTTTTCCGGCCACCCTCATCCTCACCCTCTTCCACTAGCCTCCTCGCCGCTCCAACACTCTACCCGTTGTCCGCCCTTTTATTTCTGATTTTTCAATTTCTACCCCTTTCGCATTACGCTCTCGCCCGTATCCGCGGTCACGAATCACTCGATTCTTTCATCGGCGACGATTGTTCCCACTTTCCCGAAAGCGATCCCGGTCGGCAAACAAGCAACAGCCGTTTAATATCTGCTTCCGCGAAATAGAACGAACGAGCGCCGATAGATAGACTTTCGACCGCCGCTCGTCGAAGACTTTTTTTGGTAAATTTGGAAGGGGGCAGAGGTGGATTTGGATTTTGATTGATGAATTTCGTTAGGAATCTGTTCGACAAGGATAGAAGAAGCATCGTGGCGTGATAGTATTGTAGGAAAGGGAATTTTTCACGATCTTGTGATCAATGATCTTTATGAATATTCTGTTCACTTGCCTTTGGGAAGATCGTGCACTGAGTGTATTGTAAAATTGACGTAGAGTATATTATAAAATACAGTAAGGAGCGAAACTGAACACACACACGGCATTTTAACAAAAATAATTTTTTGTTCAATATTTGCATGTAGAATGCAAAGGAAACAATATACTTGGTATTATCCACAATCTTCTGGCTTTTCAAAACAAATTTAATATTTGTGATATCATTATTATTTCGCTTCATACAATACAAATTTGTTTTGAAAAGCCAGAAGATTGTAGATAATACTAAGTATTTTGTTTCTTTTGTATTCTACACGCAAATATCGAATAAGAAATTATTTTGGTTAAAGTGTCGTATAATAAACAATATAATGTCGTAAAATAATAAAAAATTATTTTTGTATATTATGTGTATATTTACTGGAAATTGATTCTTTAAAAACTACCCTTACTACTATTGTTGGCCCAACTTTCTTTAAAAACTACCCTTTAATCAAGAATTGATTCTTTAACAGATACAGCCACCTTCTACGTGACACGTGACACATTCTTTCCATAAACTTATTCATTTCACAAGAAACCCAAGACCTAATCCCGCTGCATCGCTGTTCGCTGAAAATTATCCAGATTATAGACAAAGGTTCCCCGACGCGTGTGCAATCGCAAATGATTATAAGAACGAGGGATGAAATTTCCAAGTGAACGCGTCACACGAATCGCGTCATCTGATTACCAGATTAGAGGTGATTCCTACAATCACCGTGAAACATTTCGTAGACGAAACAGAGTGTCTGCCGATGAATCACGGCCGACGTGACGCTCAATCGTGCGCGCATAATTTTCGGAAAACGCGAACGGTATAATGGTCAATGACGACAACGGCGAACCGTGGAGGATTTTCGCGTCGCCGCCGCTAACTAACGATAAATCTCTTGGTTGCAGGTCTGCTCAGGCTGCAACAGATCTATCAAGGCTTGAAGCCGGGCAACGAGTCGTTTCAAGTGGAAACGGTGAAGAGAATACAAAACATGTCAGAGGCGATCGATTTCCTGCGCAGCTTGGAAGAACTGAACAGGCGAGTTTCAGAGTATTTCACTTTGCAACAATTAGTCTAGTTGGGGATTTTTCAAAGAACGCAACAACGCGATGTGAAATGGACAAAACATCCAAAGTACAGCGCTTTCTCTGATATTTCGCACCGCAAAAGTAATTGTCTACGTCAACTGCATTTTCCAAAAGTGTAAATTAAATAAATTAATTCGAATTAAATAAATTGAATAAATTAATTAAATAAGATCCGCAGTTTCGACGTAAAAGTAAAAATTTCTTTTGACTATTAAACAGAGGTACTATATTCAATATTCTATGTTAGATAGTTTTTCGTTATTGTACATCTCCAAATTTCTTACGACTCATGTAAAAATTCCCAGTCTAGAGACAATATTATTTTGTCGATAATTAGCTGCGTTCGAAGGTTGGATAGATTCGGGTGAGCACCAAAAATACGCGACGAATAATATTTTGATGAATCGTTGGACTTTGTTAAGCTTTGTTTTTAACGGATGAATGCTCGCAATCGTGCAACTTGAAACAATGCCGAGCGAAACAATAAAAATTATTACGAGTAATAAATGATTTGCTCGCGGAACTGATTCATTTCCATAACTGGTTATTTCGCGATTTTGTTTCGTTTCGGCCATCGGTCATCAAGAGCGACGAAAGATTCGATCGCAGTTAAAAATAAAATTAGAAAAGCCGTGAGGTTTAAAAGGAGAGACGCGTGAATCTGCGTGTAATAAAACTCGCGTGATTCAATAATCTCCTTGAAATAATCGCTTCATCCGCCGAGTTTACAAATTTGATCGAAAACGAAGTATCACGAAAAATATTCTACAAACGTAACGCTGGCTCCTGATTGTTTACAGGACAGAGCAAAGAACGAAGGACCAATTCATTTCAGTTATCATCATTTTACCTGTCGAACTTGTAAAGTCTATGAAAAATGAAAAATTTGACAAACGACGATGCAATATTGATACTCGACGATATTCTGGAATATTCTACGAAATGCACAGGATAAAGAACAGAAGGACAATAAAAATCGAGAATTTCGATAATCGTATTTATCAGATTTACATATTTCATCGACAAAAGGATACGAGGATCCTGTGAGCATTCTGTCAATCTGTATGGAACAGCTCGTGAATTTGCCGCGAAATAAATCAAACAATGAAAAATTCTCAGCGGAAAATGGTCGGGGGAGGGGGGGGAGGGGGATATTAGTGTAGCTTTATTTTTTTCAAACAGTAGAATCCGGCCGCGTTCGGACAGACTGACGGATCACTCGCTTTTGTGCGAGCACGAGCGGTCACCGCGTATCTCGGCCGCAATTTACCACTGGCCACGCATTTGCACGAGCCAGGTAATCAACAACCAGCCTGACAATGAGGCCGAATCGAATGAACGTTCCCCGTTACCGAAAACAAAACGTAACTATCGCGAATCGTCGCCGGGCAAACGGCTCGTTGCACAAGCGACTTTATCATTGGAGAAACGACGCGGCTGGAATTATGTAAATTCATTACCGGGTCCCGCGGGGTTGTTAGGACCTCTTCCGTGCCGGGAGAAGTCGTGAAATATTTCACGAAATGGGAACGACAACGAGCGTTCCATGTTTAATTGTCGCGCCGACTTGAACGTGATACCGCCCGCGCAGAAACGAGAACGCGAAGAATATCCTGGGAACGAATGTAATTGTTCGGAAATTGAAACGTTTGATACAATCTATACTAATATAAGTATATAGTATATAATATATTATATTATAATATATTATAATATACTTAATATAAGTATTATATTAACTAATATGAGTATATAATAATATACTTAATATAAGTATTATATTACAACTATAATATAATAACTAATACAATATAATATTAACTAATATAAGTATTATATTATAACTATAATATAATAACTAATATAATATAATATTATAATAACTAATATAATAACGTATATAATAATATACTTATATTATTATATAAATATCTATAATAATACAAGTATATAATAATATACTTACATACTTATATATCTATAATAATACAAATATAAATAATATACTTACATACTTATATATCTATAATAATACAAGTATAAATAATATACTTACATTATTATATAAATACCTATATTAATATTTATAAGAATAATATTTATCAATATTTATAATAATATTTGTAAAAATATTTGAATATTTAAATACGTATGAAAAAAGAGTATATTAATAAGCCTTCTGAGATCATTTGAATATAGTATTAAAATATATACATATATGTATATACGTACACGTATTTCGTTTTATTGCATCTTATTCTATATTTGTAAGATTTTATTATATAAGTACCAAGATTCGTAACATTTTATCAAAGCGTAACGTGAAATTATTTCTTCTAAATATTTGTTTCAGATCTTGTTCGAGTTACTGTACAGAAAAAAAATACAAGTTTGTTATTTGATACAAGATTTTACATATTAAAATATTTTTAACCCAAAGTTGAAGTTGATACAAGGTTTACATATTAAAATATTTTAAGCTCAAAGATGTTTCTACTGTAAAACGCGAAAAAATGTTGGAAATCTTTGAAATTCCTTGCAGAAAGGAAAAGACTACTCGCAAGCCTGATATCGTTCATTTTTTGAAAATTTCAAATTTTTGTCAATGTTACGCCAACGATAAGAAACTCGTTTCAGATGTTACAGCGATATTACACGACGCATGTAATAAATGATGTAAATTCTTTGCAGATGGAGCAATAAATACGTGGTACTCGATTGCCCCACGGACATGGCGAAGGATATCGTGGTGAGCCACGTGAGGGATGTTGCACTGGGGAAAAGAACGTACCACTATTTGTTAAGTGGATTGGTGAGTGTTTACATTATGATTAGACAGTGCAATAAAAACGATGATTCTCTCAATTCACGTAATAATCAAAATACACTTCATTCTTTCTATATTATAAATTTATTATATTTATTATATTATAAAATATAATTTATAATTTGAAAGTAACCTGTATACCTCCACAGAACTAACTAATACAGCCCAAATATCCCAAATATACCAAATATAATATAGTATAATTCGTATTCCTTAAATCTAAAATTAAATTCCATTCCCACAATTTGCGTTTCTTTTCCATTGAAACAGAAAGTTACAACGAAACGAAAACAAAGCTACTTGTCTCGCAAGCAAGTATTATCCAGATAAAAAAGGAATCCCACGTTCTTAAAAAAAACAATTGAAGATGATCAGATAAAAAGAAAGGAAGATCTAAATTAACTAATCTCGATTAAAAAAAAAAAATTAGAAATTTCAGTTCAATAGCCGAAGGTATGAACTTTTAATTAAAACTGCATGACTTTAATAACATTAACGAATACCGTTTCCATAACGTATTCATGGTCGCCAGTCGAATAGATTTTTGATCTTGACCGATCGAGTGATCTCAGATAACACAGTTTTGTCACGCGAATCACCGAAATTATTAAAGTCAGACACTTTGTTTCGACGTTCAAGTGTTCAAAAGTTCGACTAAGCATCGTGTCTTTCATACGGTATGTTACAATTCAGTTTGTTTCGTAAAATCAGATAATGGATGACCGATGGGAAAGCGAGGTGATCGAGTACGGCGCCATCAACATCACCGGATTTCGAATCGTGGATTCTACACGACCCTATGTCAAAGATTTCCTGGCTGGTTGGCATCGTCTCGATCCGGCCACGTCTCAAGGAGCTGGCCGCGAATCCATTTCTGTACGTATGCTATACTTGTCTTTCCCTTAGCCACTATCTATTCGAATCTCACACCCTTGCAAACGCCGATATTAACAATGGAAACCAGACATTAACAGATACAAATCAGATATTTTGTTAAAATAGATGACGTTTATAGAGTAAACTAGAGATAGAAGAAAGTTTAAAAAACAAATGGCACGATAATCTTATTTTAGGTGGAATTACATTTAACAAGAATAACGAATAAGTATATTAATCGTAGTATACTAGTTATTTTATCCAACTTGTTATTATAAGTATTCAATGTTTTTTAATCAATAACAATTGATGTATCCATGGTCTCATTCTCTCAATATGAAAAGTTAGAGATTTCTTTCATATCACCAAAATTGTATATTCTTATATTGCGCAAGTTCTCAACAGATAATCTCATTTCTCGTAGTGAAATGATGCTCTCGTTTCTTTGAAATCATCAAATATTATCCCTGTTCCCTAGTATATCCAATAACAGTGAATCCCTATAGTATGTTTGGTACCTGTCAAGCTGTAATCGTCTTTCCGAGAGGGAGATGCCTATTCGAGTTCCATATGGGTTGTCGAGCACCATCGAGTACTCCAATTTTCTACCCTAAGCGAGCCAGTCTACTACGGTTTCCGACTTGTTTTCGGATACTTAGCACGGTCAAGTGGACACGATTGCGCGCGATAGGGGAAAGAAAATCAAACCCGATCCGTAACCCGAGTAGCCTGGCTGTTAGACAAAGGGACCATCGTCTGCAAACGAATCGACATGGACTAAAAATCCGTGCACGTGTAACGATCTACGTTGTTTCCTTTCTGTCGATGAATAGTATAAAATTGAAGGATTATCGGACGTAATTGAAAAGGGTGAATTTGTGAAATCATTGGGGAAATTACTGACAATGAGATACATAGAAAAAGAACGAACATGATATCTTTGCTTCATTTATCAGATATTATAAAAACGACCACACTTCAGACTGTTCACTTTGAATTTTCCATAAATGCGCATGAATAAAAATTCGCAGTCGTAACATTGACGTTTATAACTTTGTTTTCTGATCTCTCGGTTAAATTTTTGACTTCTGTAGTATTTAATACGAGCAAGAAACGAAAATAGTATAGTTCTAGTACGTCAAAGTGACCTAAAAAAAACAAAGAGATTTGGTGAGAGTAAATTGAGAGAGTTTGTTGAGAAGTATTTAATTAAAAACTGTTAAAAATTCGACTAATATTACGACAATCATATTATTCGACGTTTAAGAGCGTGGAATATTATTTAATCCGAGAAACACTTTAAAACAATTTTCGGAATAAATCTTTTGGTCGATTGCCACTGTAGCAAATCACAAATATCGTGTAAATAAATACAAATCGTGACTTGTCGTATCCTTTCACGGATGGGGGCAATTTCAGAAAAAATTACACCAGCATCGCACGAACGTAAAGAGGCGACAGAAAAAAAACTGACGTCAAGAAATCGAGCGCTTATAAAAAAAAAAGACAAATTTACATGAAATGAAAAAAAGACGTTGGAGAGCATATTTTGAAATATTACAACAACATTGTACAACGTTGGTACAACATGGCGTAAAAAGTTTTCAGACGATATAAAATTCACCATAACGGGCAACGATAAGCTATAAATCATTTGTGCCTTTCCAGCACTGTCGTGGGATGTTACCGAGTCCATTGAAATCATGCAATAGTATTTGCACAACGCTATCAAACGTTTTCAGCACTTTCAACAATGTTATACAATATCGAAAATCGATAGACACTATCCGAGGAAAATTTCATGATATTAAAGCATATCCTCTCTGTCTGTGTGTATGTGTGCGTGTGTGTGTGTGTGTGTTTTTCCTTTATAACAATGTCGTTAAGTGCTCTGTCAACCCGTGACAACAAAATACACGAATGTTAGTGTGCCAGAGTTGTTTAACTCAGAATTTTAGGTAAAAGATACTTAATGATATTTACGTATTTCGCAGAGATTCTGAAAGTAATAAACCTAATTATTCAACAAGCTTGTATTAATAAGCCTAAGATATTCAACAAGACCACATTTGATATCAAATTTTTCCACTAAACTTAAATTTTAATAAATTCAAATATCTTGTTATTTCCGATTGGTTTCAAATAGAAGAGCAACAGCCTCGTTAGTACAATTAAAATTTCAAGGAATTTCCTACGTGGTGCCATGACAATTCTAAGACTTTTCGAAAAATCTTAAAATGTTCACGACTCGTCATTTCGCCAGCCAATGACTGACAAAATTGCACGATCCAACGCACCGATTATCTCCCGATCGATGCAATTTCCGCGCACAGTTCTCCAACTTTGGCCACGTGCCCGACATGCTCGCGACCTCGTGGATCCGCGTACGTCACGTGACGACTATAAACGGATCCTCTTGGCTGTCGGAGTCAACCGCACCACCGTCCGGAAACGAAGACACTTCCCTTCGTTCACATCGGTAGCCGCATCATTTCAATTATTACGGCGATTAATGGGGAGTTCCGATTGCCAAATCGAGTCCCGCACGTTTGCTTGTCACTTGGAACAATGACAGACGAGGATTGATCAGATGTTTTTGAACTGACAAGGTTTCGCGCTTGATAAAATAGGGTTTCGACGTGACTGGTATAACTACGAATTGTTAATGTCAGTTGAGTATGGAAAATGGAGACAATGATGGGATCGAGGTAATTTTTAGTGTGTTTTCTAGACTGAGGCATTGTAATGTGTTTATTTGAATCGGAGAACGAATGACTGAGAGGGAAATATTAAATTAATATATCTATTCTGTAAAACTACGAATATAAATCTATCTAATTATTATATATATTTATATTACTATATTATAAAGAACTCAATTCTATTTAACTTAATTCTTATATGTAATTTCGCGCTTGATAAAATAGGGTTTCGACGTGACTGGTATAACTACGAATTGTTAATGTCAGTTGAGTATGGAAAATGGAGACAATGATGGGATCGAGGTAATTTTTAGTGTGTTTTCTAGACTGGGGCATTGTAATGTGTTTATTTGAATCGCAGAACGAACGACTGAGAGGGAAATATTAAGTTAATATATTTATTCTGTAAAACTACGAATATAAATCTATCTAATTAATATACATATTTATATTAATATATTATCATATGCAGTCCTCTACAGGTTAGTTATTCATAATTCAAGAAAAGAACTCAATTCTATTTAACTTAATTCTTATATGTAATTATATATCTTTAATGCTTTTAATAAAGTTTGGAAGAATTATATCGACAAAGGAATTGAAATAAGCAGTGTTTCAATTATTGATTTTTTAAATGATATACTCCAACTGTAGCGGTTAACTTTTTGAGCGTTCAGTTCGTAACACATAATCTTACAGTCAATAATAAAATAATTGGTTTACTTACTCGAGGTTCGAAGAAGATAACGTATTGCAATATATACAACAAAAAGTGTATACTACATAAGAATATGAATTCGTTATTTGTTATATGTTCCTCGTTCAATAATTTCAAGCACTCAAAGGGTTAAGAAAACCTTGTGTCACGAAAAAAAGAATTTTATATTGCTTTTAATACCAAAATGATAAACTCCTAGTACATTGATGTTGTATGTATATCAAGCTACATTATGTGAGAAAACCCTCTTTACATTCACGATACTTACTTCTCGTGTCGGTTTAAAAGCAGCTTCATGTATAATTCATGCCGCTACTTATAGTGGCTATATCTCCAACAGAAAAAGAAAACAGCTTTAAAGGCCATTATAATTACCATGATTTCTCTCTCGCTCGAATTACGTTACAACTAGGCAAAACAACTTTCCTCAATCACGTAGTACCCGCGCAAATACCATACATCTAACTGTGCAATCCAACTGTTATATTAATTTTATAAAGTATCTTCGATTTTTGTTTTACCGTATCGTATAGTAAATTAATAACGTAGAGGTTGCAAACACGAATTTCATTCCCTGAAGAGGAATCGGTCAGATCCATCCTACGTTGTCTCAAGTTCGCCCTGAAACAAAAATCATCGGCGATCAATGGCGAAGCTCCAACACTCATTTTACAATTTTTTTCGCATTAGGCGCAAGCCGCGCTGATGTACGACGCCGTATTCGTTCTGGTCGAGGCGTTCAACAAGTTTCTGAGAAAAAAGCCGGACAGAAGCAACGTGAGGCGGACGGGCATTTCTGGCAGCAGTCAGATTACCAACGGCACCAAGGCTCTGGATTGCAACAGCAGCCCCGGCTGGGTAACGCCGTTTGAGTTTGGTGACAAAATTTCAAGGCTACTCAGAAAAGTAAGTACTCAATCCTACCTTGATCGTTTCGAGATATCGTTTTGAAAAATTTCGATTTCACTCTTCGTACTTGATTAAGTCAGTGTCAACGATATCATATCATAATTGAATTTAAAATCACGGAGATTTATCCCATAATCAGTTTATTTCTACTACTGTGTAATAACTTTCTTTTCGTTTCTTTTTTTCATAAATTTCACTATCCGACTATCCACTTAAGTTCTATCTTCAATTTCTATCAAAAAGTCGCCACTTAATGTGAATTTTATACATTATGCCGTGACTTTATGAATTATTCACACAGTTTTCTGATAACGAAACACGTTCAAAATTTCATTTTTTAACTTGAATTTATAAAGAGGTCATTAAATCGTCGCAAGAGTACTTAAAAATTTGCAAGATCATTCGAAATAAAAAAGAAAAAACGAATTACCAACAGATTTGACGTTACAAAAAAATTAATCAAAACTACTGGATGCCCTTTCCAAAATATAATATATAATCTGTAACACAGTGAAACTTTGCCCAAAATGAATCCAATACAGAATTGTTACGTATAATTTTTCTTCGCGGGATTCCAGAAAATTTCTAGAGTTCCTGCTATCGAGTGTACGAACCACATTCATGTTTCGCGAATTCTTGAACAACGTCCTTGGGACGACGATTATTTATGCGCTGCGCATAAATCTTAATGGATTGGTACACATTCTCGAGGAACGCGGTATCCGAGGTTAAAGACAGGAACGTGTCTGTAGGCCACGCAGATCTGTCAAAATGATTCACTCGGAAATTCTCAAGTCGCGGGTAGAGACGCAGAAATACTCGATATCGTATATCTGAAATAGCCGTGGCAACCGAAATTGCGAAGGACCCTCGCCGAGGTCTCTCTGCCATTGACAGTAATTGGCGGTTATTCCGACTCTAACGGCGTTCCTACGTCCACGTCAGATCGTCTCTTCCTCCGTTCAATGCACGAACGTGTACAGCCACACCGGAAGTGACGTCCCTATATCTCTTCGATTCTCCTGCCTTTCGTTAATTCGTCGCCTGAAACTTCCCTCAGGCAAAATGAATTTGCTTCTTTGAAACTGATGATCATTGATCAAGAACTTGTCTAGAATAGATGTATCATTTCGCGGATAGGAAAAACTTGTACAGGTTAGTCGAATTTGTACGTATATGTAAACCGATCACCCGAATGAAATCATGTCGAATTACTAACGAAGAGCGGGTACTTGAAATGATATACGTTTGAAATTAATTCACTTTGGCAAATCGATGTACATTCCAAAGAATTTTAATTTAAACACGAAATGGATATTTTAAATTAAGGAGCTCCCAAGAGAATCCCATCGAGCGATGAGTTTTAAAAAAAAAGAATTAAGAACACACTTTGCTTCTAAGTAATTTTTGTAAATTTTCAAGCGTTCAAGCGACAACGGCGACATTATCACTTTAGTATTAACAATCGTTTCAGAACGCAATAACACGTCGAGCGATAGAAATTTTCGAAATTTTACTAGAACGCTTTTGAACGAACGCCATCCTAAATTCGACCATATCGAGAACATAACATGAAAATGGGTCGTGGTATATTGACATCTTGGTTAAAGTCATACTTTTCCTAAAAATACCACCCGATCCTCAAAGCATTAAATACAACACATATACGTCTATATTGAAAACCACGTATAACCCACCAAAAAAAAAACCGAGAAAAAAAAAATAAAAAATAAAACGTTGCCTCGAAAAATTAAAAAAAAAAGCTGGATTTTTTTTCAGAGAACGCAATCTTCGCAAACACTCGCCGCCTCGTATTCAAAAAAACGAACGAAACAAATATATTTAAAATTGATCGCTAACGCGTCGATCCGCATTCAAACTTTCAGGTGGAGATCGAGGGACTGACGGGGGAGATTCGCTTCAACGATGACGGTCGCAGGCACAATTACACCCTCCACGTCGTCGAGATGACGGTCAACAGCGCCATGGTCAAAGTAAATATTTTTTTCGACCGACGAACACGAGCCGCGTGTACCGTCGTTTTTCATCCTCCCTCCACTCTTTTGCCCGGACCCCTGGCAAGCTTTTGGCGAGGCCAAAATGTAATCGAAACAGTTTCGAAATTTTCCCAATGCGAAAAAGCGAAAGGAGAGAGAGAAGAAAAAAAACAGATAAACACGCGGGGCGAAAATTGTTGCGTGAAAAAAAAGATACAACGTGAATCCCTTTTAATTTCTCGTCGTTCTACCATGTTGTTTGCTCTTTGACGCAATCCACGGTTCGATGACGTTTGCGCGACGATATCGAACATCGACGACTATCGACCATATATGTATATGTGAGCACGAGCATCTCGACTGTGCATGAACCTCACAGAGACGGCAACGACGGCCGAAGAGCTATTAACCATTCACGATTTCACCTTTCAAGGTGGCTGAATGGACGGACGAGGCTGGATTCCAAGCCATCGCAGCGAAATACATTCGACTTCGACCGCATGCCGAAATCGAGAAGAACAAGACCTACATTGTCACTACCATTGTGGTAAGAAACTACAGCGTGTGTAGGCATTCGAAATGATGGATAAATATATATATATATATATGTATATATATACATTTTTGCTTAGAAAAAACAGATTTAAAAAAATAGCACTTGCTTGATTTGTACGACACGAAAAAATAGCTGACAAAACGTACAAGATGTAAATATATGTATTGACAATTTTATCAACTGATAATCTACATCATGCTGATTGGAATTTGATTAAAAGTGCATTTCTTATTTCCTTATTAGTTGTGAAATTATTGTTAAATCTCTTTCGAGCGAGAGTGTATTTCTATAGCTATGTATATATGTGAATCAAATGGAGATTGATTGAATAAATGATGATTTGTATCGATTGAATATCTATCTTACTTATTTCTGTCATTTTATAATGACAGGAGGAGCCGTATATCATGAAGAAGAAGTCAGACACCGGAGAGATATTAACTGGCAATGATAGTTACGAGGGTTATTGCAAAGATCTGGCTGATCTCATAGCTAAGAAACTGGGAATAACGTGTAAGTATCATTAATATATCTGTACAATCAACAATATATTCATGGTACATATTTTTCGTACCTTTGTACTGTATTTCCTAATGTATTTCCTAATGTAATTCTTAAGATACTTAACAGAAATTCTTTGCAAGGCAATTAATCTAAAACTAAATTAACCTGCAAGAATGCTTTCCTATTTTCTCTGACCACTCCCAATTATTATACAATTACAGAATACTTCATCAAATAACACATTTCATATTGATATAAGCTTCGTGTAGATGCTCGTCCAATTATCTTTAACGTGCCAATTTTCACGAACAAAATTGATGAAATTAGACGGAAAGAGACGTTCCACGAATCACCCCGCCCTTAAAAGTTCAAGAATCTTCTTTCCTAACGTCTATCCAAACTAAAACCAAACAGTCCCAAAAAAAAAGAAAAATCCCCACTATTTTCACGATCTGTAAAATACTCGATAAATCTAACATACGTATTAAATGGCCCTCTTTTCTTTCAGACGAATTACGAATAGTAAAGGACGGCAAATACGGAATGGAAAATCCGGACGTTCCCGGTGGTTGGGATGGTATGGTCGGCGAGCTGATTCGCAAAGTAAGTTCCACAGAAGTCAACGAATACGTAGTTGATCGCGGTCTGGATACGGTTCCCGTGACAGAAATCCTGACAAGCTGGCGCATTCGGGCGGATCAAACGATTTAATGTAACTACGTACAAAGATTGTACTATTGATCGCGAGGTCCGACTCGAAACGAGGCTCGTTGAACGAGCTGTTTTATCTTTGGGCAGAAGGTACGAGGCTCGTCCACCAGATGCCTCGAGCTTGCAAGCTCTCCGCGCCTTTGTCTACTTCGAGACTACATCTGGTGGACGAGGTACGAAAGAACGAGAAGGGAACACGAGAGCTTTTTACTTGTGTTTGGCGAGTGTCAAAATTAAAATTCATGTAGTTGTACGAACTTCTTTTCTATTATATTGTTTAATAATTGCTCAACAGCAATAAATACGTTATTACTACTATGATGTTTATTATAAAAAAATATTAGCAATATTATTCGTTATTATTATTTGTGATATATAACGATCGTGATATATTTTCAGGAAGCAGACATTGCCATCGCCCCGATGACGATCACGTCTGAACGTGAACGAGTGATCGATTTCAGCAAACCATTCATGTCGCTGGGAATCAGTATTATGATCAAGAAGCCCATCAAACAGAAACCCGGTGTCTTCAGCTTTCTGAACCCGCTGAGCAAAGAGATTTGGGTGTGCGTGGTCTTCTCGTACATCGGTGTATCCATCGTACTTTTTACCGTGTCCAGGTAAATGGTGATTTTTCCGCAGTTACTCGCGGTACGCGGCTAAGTAAATACGGTCGGTATATGGTCAGACACGAGGTCAGAAAGTACATACGTACGCTCGATGCCTTCACCGTGAAATAGCATTTAATATCTCTCGAATTCAATTTAAACGCAACATTTTCATTAACAGAAGAGACACGTTTCATTATTCACGCAATGCAGTAATGAAATTTTTTACAACTAAATTTTTGCGAAACGTTAAAAATTTCAAAGTTTTCTTTCCTCATACAGGGCACTGCAATTCTATGTAGGCCAGTTTGCATAGTATTCAATGTGAAAATGCTAGTTGCAACTACATTTTCGAAGAAATTTTTTTAATTAAATAAATAAATCCCGAGGAAAGCTTATACGTATTTTTATATGTTTTACACTCTGATACACTCCGATACACACACACTCTCTCTCTCTCTCTCTGCAATGTAAATCAGAGAAAACGGAAGTCAGCCCTTAGTGCTAGAGAGAGAGCGGTAATTTATTGTCACAGAAATTTCCGTGACCGTGATTGATCGGTACACTCAATGCCACCCACAAACCACACAACATTACCTACCCCCTTAGCCTTTTCCTCTCGATGGCTAATTACACAACAGCCAACCTTGTTTACCTCCTTACAAAACATCACACGATTACGTGCGAAGTCACGACAATTACGCGTGCATTTATCGCGATCCAATGCCAACGCCAGCACTATAAATCGTTGCTGCTTTTATTCCAGTTATACACGCACGCTGTTGTATCTCGTGTGTCTCAATCTCGCGTGACCGCATCGAATACGATTTCGACCGATCACGACAAGAATTTGATCGTAATCTCGACGAAGGGCCGATAAACAATCGGATTTTTCAATTGCGGATTTTTCAATAATTTGACACCTTGTTTCTCTCTCTCTCTCTCTCTCTCTCTCTCTAAATAATTTATCTAGTTGATTAACCAGAAAAGAAAAGTCTTTCGATTCTTTGCCGACGATAAAATTTTAATCTGTTTTGACAAAGTTTTTAATTCCCTGCTGGTATTGTTTGATTATCACGTTATCACGACCGGAATAATTTAACCTGAGTCACATAGTTTTGAGAATATGTATTTAATTTTGTATTTCAATTTTGTGATAGGGATCGTTGGTATTCTTTGTTGAATGAAATATTCCAAAGCTGGGTAACACGATGTAAGTTATGGCATTGATTCAACGACAGGGACAACACCTATGACCCAATATTTTCAATCCAAAGTCTATTTCCCCGCCAAAGAACCTTAAAAACCTCAAGGTCGAAGAAGTTAAAATAAAAGAGAACCGAGCGAAATGCAATTAACAAAGCGTCAAAAATACAAGAAACAAAAAACCAAAATTAAAGAGCCTCGCGGAGTATTAATCGCTATGTACATAATTGTATTGTAAGGCATTAAAAGGCACAATATGGGAATAAACGAGTTCAAAGTTGAAATAGCCCGGTATTGAAGAAATCTTAAGATCCTGAGACAAAGGAACCGGAATTTAAAAAAGAAAACAAATGCATGTATACCTAAAATTCCATTCGTATTCCACAGATTCTCGCCGTACGAGTGGAGGGTACTGACCCTAAGCAGCGGCGGGGATCCGACGATGGCTACGAGGAACGACCCGACGCTGCAACATCCTCACGGATCTCAGGGATCGCCGCACATTCCAACGTCGAGCATGGCGAACGATTTCAGCATCATCAACAGCCTCTGGTTCGCGCTTGCAGCGTTCATGCAGCAGGGCTGCGACATATCGCCCAGGTAATCGCTCGTTTGCCCCTCTCGATCCACCTCGTGATAACGTGGCTCGCTATCTCTTTGTAAAGGTAGTAAAGGTAGGCTGAATCTTTGTAAAAATTAATTACCACGAATCTCGCTCTCGGATTATCAGGCGTTCCTTTTTTATCACCGTGTTCGAGTTCACTCGTCGGTCAAGCAGCACGTTATCACGTGAGACTCCGGGACTATCGCGTAACGCGTCCAGCGAGAAAGCGAATTGTACATCTTTTACACCGGCGATAGCTCAGCTGGACGAAAGGTCTGAAAAGTGTTTGGCCTGGTCGTTTAGCGGAACAACGATACGATACGAACGGTAACGTGCCGCGGGCAGAAAGATAGCTGGTTTCTTTCGCGTGTAATTATAGCTACTCTCGCTTTGCGGCCTGTTTCCGTTTCCGCGGAACAAGCAAATTGGGTGAAGTAGGTAAAGTACGCGCGACGCGCGGTGAAAAATGGCTGCCTTTTAGCCGGGACGGGTCAACGGGCGCGTTGTCTGATAATGGGATGAATTGGATAAGGGGTGTAAAGGTTCGTCGCGTTGCACTCGCTCAAAGTCTTCACATAGGTAAACGTTTCTTCCTTCTCTTTGATTCTGCGTGTAATTAACGAGGCTATACGACGGATATTATCAAACGACGCCTCGTAACGTATACGTTGTGTCGTACCAATGTTCGATTTTTATTTTCAAGCGAATCTGATTTTTCCGATTATTAACAATCAGACTGCGTTGATTGAAGCCGAAACGAAAGATTTTTCACTTAATTATTGAAATACTGTAGCGAATTTTAGTATAAAACACGTAGTGACGCAATAGCAGATTTTTGATCAAATTTGATCGATGAGAAGCATCTAAATATCAACAGATGTCACACTCATCGACTTATCGATATACGTTGAACACATCGCGATAAATAAATCCGCTTTTGAAATTGAATACATTTTTCACTAGAGAAATGTATTTGCAGTAATAATAATTCTTCCAAACAATTTTTCAAAATCATTCGTTTACGGAGACGCGCGAAGTGACAAAATAAAAACGCATCGCTTTCTTGGTGCCAGAGAATTGGCGTAATGTGCAAATTGGTAGCGCGTTAACAAGAGAAAACGGATGTTTCACGGGTAACGATCTAATACGAGGCTTAGGTTTAAGATGTCCTTCAACGCACGATCCCCATCGCCGTCCGGCAGCAAATAGTTGCGAGCGATGATAACCTTTAAGAGGGTGATTTACCGTGGCCTAAAGGGGAGGGGTTAAGGTACACGGTAATTACTGTTGCAAATTCCTTCGTTTAAATTACAACTACGTGCCGCGGTAAACGGCGATTATAAACGCGGCGTGGGGCCGAATTATCAGAATGTAATCGGATTACGTTTCGCAGAGTCTCGTGCCGGGGTGTAATTTAGAACGGCTCTCTGGCAATCAGCGCCGCGATTAGGCCTCCCCGGGCTATTCGAGGGCGGCTCATTTGAATGAGCGTGCCGTTTCGTAGCCGCGGCTCGAAAATTCCATTAGCGACACGCTCCACCGCCGACCAAGAGAGGAGATCGTACATACACACGTATATATACAATATCTCCTCCAGCCAGAAATTCCTCCTTTCTTTTCCGCCTTTATATCCTTCCTCCCACGCGCATCGAGTATCAACCTAATTTTATGCGGAAGCAAGCTCTCGCCTTTTTGCACAAGCGTCCATGCTGTCTTAGGCGTGTGAAAGTTCTCAGTAAGAAGGCGTACACGTGTAGTACACGTGTTTTTAATATAATAATTCTTTGATTCAGGGAATCCCCGAATTTTAAACATACAACGAATCTCACTTTGATGAGAGATTTTAATCATAGCCAAATTTAAATATTAATATTGATATATTCAATATTAAATATAAAAATTTTATTTTTTTGGTGACCAAATTCATAATTTATACTAATTTTAATAATAAAATTAAAAGTCTTTCACATACTATAAATATTAAAAATATTCATAATCTATATATATAATTATATATAAAATAAAAATTATGTAAAAATTCTATTATAATTAAAAGACTTAAATAATAACTTTTAATAAATATAATTTAAAAAAAATTAATTCTTTAATTATATAGAATATATTAGTTATATATTAATTATATACTCGATACATCCCGAAAGCGAGGACTCTGATGGGAAAATTTTAAAATATTTTTTGATGACCAAATTTACAATTTACACTAATTAATAATAATAATCCTAAAATTCTTTCACATACTATAAATATTAAAAATATGAAAAACAATCATAATCTATATATATATATATATATATATATATAATTATATATAAAATAAAAATTATATGTAAAAATTCTATTATAATTAAAAAACTTAAATAATAATAACTTTTAATAAATATAATTAAAAAAAAATTAATTCTTTAATTATATAAAATATATTAGTTATATACTCGATAAATCCCGATTTTCCGCGAAGATTCTGATGGGAAAATTTTAAAATATGCCTATTCGCTTCTACTAATTCCTTCTTTTCAACTCGTTTTCACTCCCAATTGATTGACCATGAATCGCTGAACGCTGGATCCATCGAAAGACAATCATACTTCTTTCCCTATCAATTCCCTGTAATATATGTGTTTCACTTTGCTTTATTTGCCGGGATGCGTTTTACGAAGAACGCGATACAAGCCTCTCGGACGCGTCCACTAATTCGGTCCTAAATTCCACTCCCCCGCAGCGGAAAATATATCGTCGCCGAGTTGCGAAAACAAACACGGCTGGAAATTACAAAGGACGAAACTGTTCGCGGCCCGGACGTCCCGTAAATCTTTTCGGGCGAGCGTTTCGCGACGTTTTCGCGAATGGTTTCGGCCACTTCGGAACTGGGTCTCGATTAATTTCCATTCCGTCGTATCCACCGACGCCGTACCGATCGTGCGGTAGCCTCCTTGATTAATGGTTTAAATATTCGCGCGGCGCCGATATGAATTGTAAATTTCGCTTTCTGGTACTTTCTGTCCCCTGCTGTCCGCTAGCTTCTCTCTCTCTCTCTCTCTCTCTCTCTTTCGTTTCGCTTCTTCCTCTGCGATATCCCGCGGCTCGCGAACATTCTACGTTATTAAATATCGTCACATCCGTCGTGGCACGAAAACGTAACTCAATCGTGAAGTAACCTTCCTCGAGGGCGAAGAAAGTTACGTCTTTGAGATTTTGTTCTTTTGCTTCGGCGAGCAGGTTCGCCGAGAGAGTTAATGAGAAAGAAGGTGCGAAACGTTTATTAAACGGGAAATTGTAGAAAGTGCAGGTTTCCTTGCGTTCGAAGGCGAGAAGTATAAAGCTCGAGCGAGGGAATGATGGTTATTAAGGTGTTGTTATTATGCGTGATTCGTTGTAATATACTCGAGGTAATGATAGACCCGAGGTTGTTTAGTACGTTCTTTGGAAGGTATCGCCGAGAGGGACGGTTATTGAGATGTTTGATAAAGCTACGACTTGATGATTATTTTTTTACATTTACCGAGATAGCTCGCGGATAAATACTAATCACACGGTTTCTAATAATATCAGTAAGTTACGGAGTTGCAACATGCGGATGCTTTGCAATTTTCTAAAGAACTATAAAGTTATAGACGTTGAGTAAAATAATTATCGGTGTTGATCGTCAAATAAGATGTTATTAAGTCATTATTTAGTTACATATCGGTAACTTGAGCGAGCTTTGTGGTTTAAAATAGTTTTCGAAATCTTCTAGAAATCGGTTTGCAAAATATGATTCGCTACTGTGAAAGAACATTTTATATTCCCGTTAATTTTGAACTAATTCGCAAGTAATTACTAATTAATATTCATCGCATTTAACAGGTCGATATCAGGACGAATAGTCGGCAGTGTCTGGTGGTTCTTCACCCTGATTCTAATCTCCTCCTACACCGCTAACTTAGCCGCGTTTCTAACCGTCGAAAGGATGGTCGCACCGATTAACTCGCCGGAAGACCTGGCCTCGCAAACGGAAGTGCAATACGGCACACTATCTCACGGATCCACGTGGGACTTTTTTCGAGTAAGTTCATCTGAAATTACTTAACGAGAAAAATTACGACGCGATATTAGATTGTAACGATCGTGAATGATTTCACGGACAGTGAATTCTAAGGGAATTCTAAAGTATTCGTTCCTAGCAGGTAACAGTTAATAGAAAAATTCAAATGATAAAAAGTGAAAGAAAAGATCCTCGACTTTGACAATCAGTGTATGTCGAATAAGTAATATTTACAACAAAATAAATCTCATGACTCTTAACAGTGTTTTTGTGATAATCGATTGCAGTATTACTATAACAAACATCTAAAATTAAATTATGATAATAAATTGAAATAGTAATAATAAAAGAGTGGTCGACTTGCTGTTAGTACAATAATTGAAATGATCTAGAAAAATAATTAATTTCACACGTTATAGCCTGATATATTAAACAATATATAATAATTCAAGTATATAATTCGAAAGACGTAAATAGAATATTCTTCTTTCTCCTTTAGAAATCGCAGATTAACCTCTACAGCAAAATGTGGGAGTTCATGAACTCACGGAAGCACGTGTTCGTGAAAACGTATGACGAGGGTATACGAAGGGTGAGGACAAGCAAAGGGAAATATGCCCTCTTGATCGAAAGTCCAAAGAACGAGTATACAAACGAGAGGGAACCATGCGACACGATGAAAGTCGGTAGAAACCTTGATGCCAAAGGTTTTGGAGTAGCGACGCCATTGGGATCTCCTCTCAAGTAAACTTTATTACTTTATTATACTTGCTTGCTTTTAACATGTTCAGAACCAAGCAATAATATGTCATGGTATTGCAAACACATCAGTGTCTTGAAATTTTTGGGAAATGTTTAAAATTCTACTTTTTAAAATTTTCCATATTAAAAAGCAGAATTTGACAATACAAATTGTACATGATGGACTAATCCATCTTTCATGACTTTTTAATCAATGACTTATACATTGTACGTACAAGTGTAAACTTGATTCAAAGTTCCATAAAATTGAAACGTGTTCGTCGCAATGAAAAAAGATTCAAGCACACTTCTACGCAAATAGAAATATTTAATAGTAATATTTAGTTGCCTTCAGGTACTCCACATTTTCCATTTAAATCGCTGGTGCTTTCAGCATATACGAAACGAGTGATAGCCATCATTGACGGTACACGCTCGAGTGTATATGTTGCGCGAAAAAAAATCACGCCACTCGATACGTTGAAAATATTAGAAACATTCCCACTTTAATGAAACGATATGAAACAATAGAAGCGCTGTTGTTATTGTAATTTTTCCAACATCACCGATGGCCTGTTGGAATATGCAATCGTTGTAAAAAAAAAAGATTCCAAAAGCCTCGTTCTAACAATTACTTTGTTCAAACATTTTTCAAATTTGAGAGCGTTGTAATCATAGTGCGTCATTAACCCTCCAACCTTCAATCGTCATCTGCGATTAAGGGGGTTGAAAGGAATACGCTTCGCGAGAAAAGAAAAAAACCAGAAAATTCCACACGTGGCGCGAAGAGCCGAGAAAAGGTCTGCCTCGTCGCGAACGAGCGAAATAATTTTCAAAGCATACGTGCTCGACGCGGCAAACGCCGAGAAGTTTCGAGTCTTCGGTAATTCTCGACAAAGCCACTCGCGGCGCATTCGAGCAAGCGTAACGTACGAACTGAATGGTAAGACTGGTTCGACCTATTTCTTCCATATGAAGGCGTAATTAACGAGGGTTTTCTCTTTTTTTTTTTTTTTTTTTTTTTTTAGCAATCAGGAAGAAACGAAACACCACCACCTGCCCACCCTCCTTAATTCGCTCGCCTTCGCGACTCTTTGAAATTCCCGTCGCTCCGTTTTGCGCCTCCCTTTCCAAACACGCCACGTCGTTCCACACAATTAGCATTAAAAAAAAAAAAAAAGAAAAGAAAAGAAAAAAAAGAGAAACTCGTACACCCATTTTTCCATATCATTACCGCTTAAGGGATGAGTTCGACCCACTCTCTCGTCTCGACTAACCAATTCAATCTCGTCCATGCCCGCAATCCCAGCGCGAGACAATTTGTAATTCAACGAATACACGAGCATCGATTTCATTACATTTGTTTCGCGACACAATCGGCTTTTTCCCTCTGATATTTTCGTACATCTTCTTCTCTTCTCGTCCCACAGTCGTTGAACTACTTTCTGCGGATTTTGTTTGAAAGGTCGTTTTGTCGACTGATTATGACATCTCGTTTTCTCTCTTTACGTGGTGTGTTTTATAAATTTGACACTCGTTCCATTATTTGCATAGGACAATGTCGTTTCAAGCATCGTTTATTTGGAAAAGCAAGAGACGATAGACAGAGAGTCTAGTGTCTACTGTTGTTACTTCTCAACAAAGATACTTCTCGTGAAAAAGAGACTATAATTTCGCGTTCTTTAACGTTAGAATGTATCGCTCGTAAACGCAAGTAAATAATTCTCCTCCATCGTTTCCTCAGATAATATCGTCGCAGCGAACATTCGTATGGACGACAGGCGATAGAGTTAGTTTAGGACATCGATTATGAATAAAGAGCGATTCCTAATCGCATGCATGGAATGCACGAGGCCGCGTGGCAGATTTGGCTGCACGTGACAAGAATGTGCGTCGAACGTGCGACGTTGCATCGCTGATGTCTTTAAGAATAATTGCGGAAATTCAGAGGAGCCGAACTCGACAATCAAAACAGTCGATTGAATTTTCATCGGATGTAGTTTTATTTATATTTCAACGTCTGCGATCTAAGATTCCTAGAATATCGAATATTCATTTAATTTCGCGCAACGCCATCTTTCCCCGATATTATCATTTGTCTAACATTTGACACGTTACAGAGATCCCATAAACCTGGCGGTGCTGTCGTTGAAGGAAAATGGGGAATTGACGAAACTAGTGAACCGATGGTGGTACGACAGAACAGAATGCAGGCACGGGGACAAACAGGATGCTTCTAGAAACGAGCTGTCGCTCAGCAACGTAGCAGGGATATTCTACATCCTCATTGGTGGCCTGCTTTTAGCACTGGCCGTCGCGCTGCTAGAATTCTGTTACAAATCACACACGGAAGCTACCAGAGCGAAGGTAACGAATTGGTACCACTGCCAAATAGGATTTCGTAACTTACACTACCGTTCGTAGGTCTTCAATCGCAAAAAAAAAAAAAATATATATATATATTATTAGAATCTTTTATTTAATAGAACTTTCAAAATATAGTACAAAGCACTTTTTCTGTTAACAAATACGTCATTTTCTAATTATCTTTTAAATTTTCGATGCTTAAGAACTCCTAGGTCAGATCGTCAATCATTTTGGTTTAAATATTTTCATACGGTTCTGCCTACCTTATTACATGCACTCTTCATAGTTTTACACTTTGAAATTTCCCATAAACGCGTCCAAATCGCCGAGTCGAGCAATATTATCAAATGTCCCGTAACTTACGAACGATAATGTCGAAAAATTCGTCGGCGACATTCTTCCGCTCAACAATCGTTTTCCATCGTGAAAGAAAAAAAGAACGACGAAGAAAGATTCTATTCATCAGAACCTGCAACTTTTCAGATCCCATTGTCGGACGCAATGAAGGCGAAAGCCCGACTGACGATCGGTGGCGGTCGAGATTTCGACAATGGCCGGGTAAGTAGCCTGACGAACCAACACCTCCTAGATCCTTGTTATCGATCGCACGCGTATCACGCGGTTAGACTAACAACAGCTCGTAGAATCGTGTTTGAACAAGCTGGGAAACGGACTCTGAAAACGTTCCGCCTATGTTTCTTCGTCACTTCGTAAAACTCGAAATACCTATTCGCGTGCCTCACCGCCGCTATAGATAAAGCTATGTATGACTTTTTTATTTTCTATCAAGGAACGTTTTCGTCCTTTTCATTCCCCACGTGTTTCGAACCGACGATCTCGATGTATCGTGTAACATACGCTCGCAACGTGGCCGCATCGGGCTACATTATGCATTTCCGTGCAATACAAGAACCTATACGTACATATGTATACATAGAGGCATATGATAGAATACGTTTGGCATGCAGTTAGCAGCGTGTATACGTTCGACGTGTATATTCTGATCGAAAGACGATCGACCAAAGTATCGAGAATCTCGAACGGTTACCGTGGTTCTCGATGACACGATCGACCTAAGGGCGATAATCGATCGTTGTCTCATATATATATACATAGATAGATAGATACGAAATTATATATAAATAAACATTATATATATAATATTTATCTATATATATATATATAATGGATATATATGAACATATATATAATTAAATAGATATATTATACGTACATGCGTGCGATGTGCGGCTGGCTGGATGTGTTGCGCTCTTTTCTCTACTTCTCTATATATTTCCTCATCTTTCTCTCATCTATCTATCTCTCTGATTTTCCCTTTCTTTCTCTCTCTACCTTTCTCCCTCTCTCTCTCTTTCTTTCTTTCTTTCTTTCCTTCTATCTTTCTCTTTCTCTCTGTCTCTATCTCTTTGTACTCGATGGATGCAGGAGACGTAATTTTTGCTCGTTTTGCGCGTTTCGTTCTACTTTTGTTTTTGTCTCTAGTGGTACGGACTGCAGAGTTAGACGGAGGATGCATGCGCCTTTCCCGGGACCATATGTGAGTACTATCTAGCCCTTAATTTTAAATCCCCCCCCCCCCCCCCATTGTACGTTCTGCGTCTCTCGTTTGGTGTACCTATTTTCTCTTTCTCTCTCTCTCTTTCTCTTTCTCTTTCTCTGTCTCTCTCTCTCTCTCTCTCTCTTTTTCTGTCTGTCTCTTCCAATTTTCCCTTCTGCTTCTCTTGTACGTCACTTTAGGGCAGCGTTCGCCCAAGTCTCTCACTCGTTTCATTCTCTTTCACGTTCTCGATAGAGACTTCGATCGCCAAATCATCAGTGACTATTTCCTTGGAACTTCATCAAACCAATTGATTTCTGGAAAATTTAGATTTTCATTTAGACTTTCGTTCAACTCATTTCAAAAACTTTCACGGCTCGCAACTTTCTCTTATGTCGTCAGCCATTTTGCGTCATTGTTCTCGAGCATTCGTATCAAAGCGACTTGCATAGTAGATCATGTTTCTCACAATTTTCACAGTCTTCTCCTCGTCGATGCACGATATCATTAATGCAGAAATCGAACACGATAAATTCATTAGAGAGAGAATTATCAAATTATCGAAGTTGGACTGTCTGAACATTTTTGCGATTCAAGTACACAGAAGGCGTCCTTCTACCTCCTGGCTCTCGTTCCATCGCTATTCCTCCAGCTTTCAACAGCTTTTGAAATGACCATGGAAAAAACGCTGGCTTCTGATCGCGAATTGAGCATGGCTTGTAGCAACATTTTCTTTCTTTTTTTTGTTTTTTTTTGTTTTTTTTTTTTTTTTTTTTTTTTCTTTTTTTTAAATCCAAATCCTATTGAAAAACATCGGACAGGAAAAATCGAAACTTTCTATTGTAGT